AGGCCAGAAAATGCCCTCCATGACCTTAACTGTGAAAGGGCAGTGGTAAAGAGGGCCCTCCAGGGCTAAAGGGGACAATGGTACAGGAAAGGAGGCTCACACCCACAGATCCTGGACCCAGGTTGGCAGATGCCTCAGAGGCTCAATGTCCCCCCAACACCTAGCATGACATCCACCCCCTGCAGTGCAGCTTTCTTCCCAGTATAATAGCTAACATTTATATTAAGCACTTATATGCCAGAAGCTGTGTCAAGCGCAAAACTTGGATTACCTCATTTAAATCCTCTCAACCCTATAAAAAAGGCACTAGTAGCCAATTATTATGCAAGCAACATGGAAAAGAATTTAACGTGGCTCTGAGAATTGTCTTAGAAAAGGCACTTATCCTCTAAGTGGAGCCCACGCTGGACCCGGCCCTCTCTGCAGGAGGGGCCCATGGCATCTCCTTTGACCCCCAGTGCACCGCCCCGCGAGGGGCTCTGGTTGGCCCTATCAAGCAGAGGCTACTCCCCGGCAGCCCAGCGCCAGCATGGCTAGATGGTCTCTACGATGCAGAACTCGCTGTGCAGGGAGCACACAGGGAGAGTGAAGGACAAATGGGAAAACATTTGGTTGTTCTCACTGTCCAGAACCTTATCTGAATGAACATTCTGAAGAAAGCACTACAGCAGGAATATGGAATGCTAAGGAAACAAAGCCGCCCGTGCCTTCTGTGCCTCTAGAAAAGGTAGGGGAAAGGTGACAATCCACTCAAGAAAAAGGGGAGAGATGGCATAGGAATAAACGCAGTGCTACTAAGGGAAGGGAAATTCTCCCACCTCCATAAAAACCCACCTCGCCACGGCCTTCAAAGGTTTCCCTGGGCTTGATTTCTGGTTGCCATTATTAGAATAGCAGACTGCTAAGAGAAAGAACTTATTTCATGAAAGAAATCTACATTTATTGATTTAGTACCTTCATTCTTTCAAAGAATACTACAGACTTATGTTTATTAGCTTCATTGTTATGAGGCTGAGAAGGAAAGCTTCCCTGATCTACAGACAGAGCAAGGCTACAAGGTTCAGGACCCCAGAAGCCTAAAGTGGCGCTGTTCCCGGCATTGGTACTACCTGCTCCCAGCTCCTGAAAGCAGCACCCTGCACCTCAGGGCAGATCATCTCGGGCTGCACTGAGCTGCGAAGGCCTCTTCCCTCAGCCACACAGCTCCAACTCCAGTTTCTGCAGATTGTCCACTAAACCACCATCTGGCAGTCCCCACTGCTAATGACAACAACCAGAGGGAAAAAGCCAAATGAAAGCCCCTGGGTGTGGCAGGATGGGTGAACCTTATGCTGGAATCCACTGCAATGTCCAGAAATGTCTTTCCTCGAGCCTGTGCTGCTGGATGAATGAGCCCTGACCAACGGGCAGCGTCAACAGCTTCACCCACAGCTCCGCCAATGCCAAATATCTGAAGGAATGCCTTCCAAGTGAAATGAACACATTTAGTAGGCTACCAAATCATTTTACCAATTTGCTGCCCACTCTTCTAGCAGATTCACAGGTGGCAAATGTACTAACCCCCCCATAATAAATTATGATTCACTTTGAACAACTGCAGGGTAGTTATTTTCAAAGCTGCCCTGGAGTTGAGTTAGGGGGTGGGGGTATTACGGAGAAACAGAAAGAGAAGTCCCTAAAGTTTACCACAAGGCTGATAATCTGCATTAAAAAAGCTACCTTTCTAGGGTTCAACTGGAAGAGACCTAAAACCTTGGGGTGGATAGAACCTTGGCCTGGGAACCAATGCCAGTGGTCTACAGCCCTGGAAGGCAGGTGTCCTGAAGGCCCAGGAATGAAAAAGCAGACACACTCCACGGCTTTAGAACCAAGGGGCAAAGGGTCCCCATGGGGGACCCACGGCAACAGGGCAACCCCACAGCGAAGGTGCCACTGGAGGGCAGCAGGGGAGTACAGGGAGGCTGCAGGCACCAAGAGAACCCCAGCAAGGGGTGAAATGGCAAGAAAGCTGGGTGAAAAGGAAGGAGGCCACCACTCTGGGGCAGGTGGCTACAAGACAGTCATGCACCTGGGAAGGGCCCCCAAGAGGGTAGATCTAGTTCAGCCCAGTCCCCTGAAGAGGGAAGTGTCTAAAAAAAGTCAGTTGTGACTTTTAAAAAGTCCTTCCCAACATGCTGTCTCCTCAGCCTTCCCCATCTCACTAATATGGCAACTCCATTCTACTTGAAATCACATTCGACCTCTTTCACACCTCACATGGAACCCAGTGGCCAATCCTATTGGGTCCACCTCTAAAATCTACAGATAGAGCAAGTATATAAACCTACAGACGGAGCAGAATTCGACCACCTCACATTTCTACCATTTCCACCCCAGCCCAAGCTGCCATCATCTCTCACCAAAATTACATATGGTCACTCTCTCTTGTGTAGAAATAACCTGGAGGTGGGTTTTATTCCAGGATTAGTTACAAGTCTCTGAACTGGTTGGTCTCCCTGCTTCTATGCCTGCCCCTCTCCCCACCCACCCATCTTTTCTCTATACAGTGTTTCAAGTAATCCTTGAAAACTACCAGACAGCTTTCCATGGTTCCCCACCTCACTCAAAGTAAAAGCAAAATCTTATGTGAGTAAAAGCAAAATCCTATGAGACCTGCCCTCAACTGGAACAGACAGAGGTATAGAGAGCCCCCAGGCCTGAAAAGGTCAATCATACAGAAAAACACTAGGGTCCCATCCACAGGTCCTGCTTGGAGTGAGGACCAAGAGCCAGGTGGAATGATGAACATCTCAGAAGATGCCTCTGGCCCAGAGGAAAATGCTTCCCTCCATAACAAGGCTGCACTTACTCCTGTTTGGAATTCCTTCTTAGGATTAATAAACCAATACTGCCAAATACATAGTTAATAATGAAAAGGGATTAATTCAATTAAACAATGCTGGGCATTGTTTTAATTTTTAATTTTTTTTTGTGAGGAAGATCAGCCCTGAGCTAACATCCGATGCCAATCCTCCTTTTTCTTTGCTGAGGAAGGTTGGCCCTGAGCTAACACCCACGCCCATCTTCCTCCACTTTATATGGGAGGCCCACCACAGCATGGCTTGACAAGTGGTGCGTCAGTGAGCCCCCGGGCCCAAACCTGCGAACGCACGGCCGCCAAAGCGGAAGATGTGCACTTAACCGCTTGCGCCACCACGCCAACCCCCAAAATTAGGTCTTTTTACTGGCCTTAGTAGAAATAAACTACTTGGTAGAAACTAAACTTAGTACAAAGAAACTGTCAACAAACATGTATTTAATTCCATCGAAGAATGGAAACTTCTACCAAATATAATTAACACGCGTCCTAGTATTCAAACTCGGGAGGTCAGCAATCTTGTCTTTCAAGCCTTTTTTTCTCTGAAGCAAATAATTATATACATACAAGCACCCACGTGGCTCAAATCCAGATCCAACAACTGAGTACATTTCTGATCTCTATTTAGTCTTATCCTGTTGGTTTAGTCAAAACTCCTTTGACACCTTTTAAATTTTATATATAATGATTAAACATGATCTTAATATGCTAAACCTTTAAAAACTATTTTAATCCATTGTTGACTCTGCCCCCTAAATTTCTATTCTGATTCTGTGACTTAAATAAGATCTTTTGTTTTAATGACAGAAGGGTGTGTTCACAGAAAAATAATAATTTCCACCGAGATCAACTAAAAATATCAGGGGGATATATGTATCACCGTTTCCTTCTATCTGAACCGAACATAAAGGGCAACAAATGTTAAGATAAATCCTAAGTAAATTATAGGTCAAATGAAATACAATCAGGAAATTCAGACAGAGGCCAACATACACAGTTCTAATGGTCAAATTTTAAAGAGCACATTTTTAGGGAACTACACCTGGTACTGAAATCCCAACCCTCTCCCTTGTAACTAAATCTGGAATAATACCCAACTCCAGGTACTTCCACACACCCGAGCCTGCCTGTGGGTATTAAGAAGTAGAGTTCTCTTCCAGAAGGCACATGTCTGCCTATCCTAATCATACAAGTCAAACACAACTCCTAACTGGTTCCCACACCCACTGAAAAGGGGAAGGAACTAAAATAGCACGCTGTGGTAGTACTACAGTGCGAGTGCCGCTCTGTGTACACACAGGTTTTAGAGGGACTGCCAGACCTGCCTGGCCTGGGAAGTTTTCTACTACGCAGAAAGGGACACACTGAGAATAGGTTGTCTTTACTAAGCCGGAAGAACTTCCTCCCGCTCCAAACCATCTGGAAGGCTTGAAGAATCCAGCTTTTACAGGCCAATTCAGGTCACAAGGAAGCCCACCCAGAGGGGACTTCCCCGAAAAAGCCCTGGCGATCCAGACAAGAGGTGTGGGCGGGGCGGGGCGCGTCCCGGGGTCTAGGGAAGAGAGTGGGCGCCGTGGGCAGGGTGCGGGGTGCTAGGCGTTGTCCCCAGGCCGGCCACCTGCCGCGGGACCACCATCCCGGCCGCCGGGCGGGCTCCCCACCCGCGGCGGATGACACATCGCGGACCTCGTGGCGGGGCGGGGTGCTCAGCACCGCGCCATGTAAGGGAAGGTCTCCGGATGCCTCCTGGGCCGGCCCCCGTACCCGCTCCCCGCCGCTGTCCACGCCGACCACCCCGTCCGTCCCGGCGCCGGGGTCCCTGGCAGGGCGCGCGGGGTGGGCATCACCGAGGCGCCAGGTCGCCCACGCTTACTCACTCGGTGTTGCATCATGCACCACGCCGCGCCTTCAGGGAACCAAAATGGACTCCGGTGAAGGAGACAGCCACATGGGCACCAGCCCCGCGCGCACACCCCCGGGCCCGCCCTGCCCTCGCCCACCCTGGAGGATGCCAGCGCCCCGGGCGCAGGACCCTCGCCGCTCCCGCGCCGCCCTCCCACGGCCCCACGCAGCGCCGGGGTCCCTTCCAAGGTGACCCAGACGCGGGGAGCTGCCCTGGCGCCGGCGGGGGCCGGGCACTCACCGAGCCGGCGGGCGGCAGGATGCCGGCACGACTGTGGATGGACGGACGCACGCGCGGCTGGACTGACGGACGCTCGGACGGAGGCCCGGCGCGGGGAGCCGCAGTGAGAGTGGGAGCTGCGGTTAGCGGATGCCGGCTGGCCGCGTGCCCCGCCAGGCAGTTGACCGGCCGCTCACACCTGCCCGCGCCGACTGAATGGAGCGTGAGGGCGGGCGGGCCCGGGCGCCGGGTTTCATCAGCCGCGCGGCCCGGGCCTGCCCCGCG